AGATGGGACAATATGGGTCGGATCAGATAATATGGGTTGGATTGGACAAAATGGATTAGATCAGATAAGCTGGATTGGATAAGAAAGCCCGCCGCAGGCGCCGAAAAAAAGGAATTATGAAATTAGCGACATGCGTTTAGCGCGGGGACGCCCGGGACACCCAGGACACCCGGGACACCGCCCGGCCCAACTGGGACACCTCCCGGCCACCGGCGGACGGGAAACGGACTTACGCTCCTACTGACGCCCGGGAAACCGGGGACACCGCCCGGCCACCGGCGGACGGGGAACGGACTTTCGCCCCTATATTTCGGCCTAGCTACAGGAGGATCACGCGCAGCTTCGCCTCGCCCGCACGCACGACACGAACACGAAACCGAAACCGATTTCCCGGGGGGGGTCTCCATTTCAATGCGATCTCACCCCCCAATCTCCGATATATATATATATATATATATATTTATATATTTATATGTATATGTATATATATATATATATACACACTTCCAAGACGGCCCAACAGGGCCCAAAGATGCTCCGAAGATGGCCCCATGACGGCCCAAGATGGCGCCAAGACGCCTCCCGAATCATTCCAAATCGTGCCACGGCCGTTCAGGGAAACCGCGGTGGGAAGCAGGGTGGCCTGGGGAAGCCCCCAGAGGCCACCAGAACCCAGGAGGCTTCCAGAAGGCCCCAACAATCCCTTCAAAACCTCCGTGAGGTTTACCAGAGGCTCTCCTAGGATGAACTTCCGCAAAACGCGCTGAGGACGGGGGCGAATTGGCAGGGCTGGGCGAGAAGGAGGAAGAGGGAGATGAAGCATTTGAGGAGGATGACGAATAATATTAGTATAACGACGATGCCAGAGCAGTCAACAACGAGTTACGGCGGAATGTTCCGTTTTACTTTATCGCCCTCCTGCTTGCATGCCGAACTTCAAGGACCAAAGAGAATGGCGCGAAGCGCCGATGCAGTCTTGTATGTGTGTATATATATGTAGAGAGAGGGAAGAGAGCAAAATCCATAATCAAGAAAGAGACACACATAAACGAATCAGATGGAGAGAGGGAGCGAGAGGAGAGAGTAAGGGAGAGAGAAAGAGAGAGAGAGAGAGAGAGAGAAAAAGAGAGAGAGAGAGAGAGAGGTAGAGAGACCGGGAACCGAGAACTCGGAACCGGGAGCCGCGGGAACCCCAGAACCGGGATCTGGGAACCGCGGGAACTGGGAACCTGGAACCGAGAACCAGGAACCGGGGGTCGGGAGCCAGGATCCCGAGCTGGGAGGGAGCCAGGAACCGAGAACCGGGAACCGGGAACGGGGAACCGGGAACCGAGAACCTGAGAATTGGGGGCCGGGAGCCGGGAATGGGGAACCGAGAGCCGGGAACCCGGAATTGGGATCCGGGAGCCGCGGAGACGGGAACCTTCTTGGAGCCGGGAACCAGGAAACGGGAGCCAGGAACCTGGAGCCCAGAACCGAGAACCGCGAACCGAAGATTGGGTGGGGCAGGGAGCCGGGACCTTGGAACCAGGAGCCAGGAACCAGGAACGGGGAAGTCGCCGACTAAAAGACCTGACTTGGGATGGCGAGGTCGCGTTTGGATCTGCGTGTGGCCCCACTGTGCTGGCTGCCCCTGCAGCCCTCGAAAGTGGCGACAGTTTCACAGTTCGCAGCCCCCCAGGGATGGGGAGGTCCTGTTTGGATCTGCGTGTGGCCCCACTGTTGGCAGCCCCCGAAAGTGGCGACGGTTTCACAGTTCGCAGCCCCACAGGGATGGCGAGGTGCCGTTTGGATCTGCGTGTGCCCCCTGTGCGGGCTCCCCCAGCAGCCCTCGAAAGTGGCGACAGTTTCACACTTCGCGGCCCCCAAGAGGGATACGAGAGGAGAGGGCCGAGAGGAGAGCGGGGGGGGCAAGGAGGAGGAGGAGGTGGAGACCCCACTGCTCTGTTCAAAACGGGAACTCAACCAAGGGAGGGGTGGGAAGAAAGTGTTCAGCCAGCTTTGGGCCCCAGGACCATTCGAGATCCGGCTCGGAGAATGCCACTGGAGGATTGGCTGTAGGGCTCTGGCCGTTTTTTTCCGCGGTGGCGCGTTTTTTTTTTTCTCGCAACGTCGGATCTCAGGGTTTGGCTACTTGCGCCCCCGCTTGCCTGGCGCTGCGCGTTGCAGGCGGGGGGCATGAGATAGACAGGGGGGGCGCACGGGGAGCCCGTGCCACCGCCTGGCCGTGCCCTCGACGAGGGGGGGCCCCGAAGGTGGCGCCAGCGTGTTTGGATTTCGTGGCATCGCTCGGACGTGTGTGTTTTTTCCTCGGCGAGGACCATCGAGGAACATCCTTGATCATTTGGCGAAAAAGCCACGCACGAAACCGAGAAAAACACAGGGAATGGACGTCCGAGCGATGGCGAGAGCGGGCAGGTGGTGGAGGTGAAGGAGATGTTGGACAAGGTGCAGAAGGAGCGGCAGGCTGCCAAGGATGCAGACAGCGAGAGGTACAGGCGCGAGGAGGAGCAGCTCGAGGAGCACGTGGAGGAGCAGGCGGAGAAGAGGCTCGGGGACAACCCGTGCGTAGAAGACGGCGTGCTGAAGTGGGACTTCCAGCGATTTGATCTGCCCAAAGGCATCGGGGGTCCATCGAATCTCCACCCTGCCAAGTCGATTCGCGAATTGCACTCTCTCGGTTCTCGAGAGGGCGTTGCGGCTGCACTCTCTGCGGGCTCGCAGGGGCGACACATGAATCGCGCTTTGCGCATCGGGGCTTGGGTTCGAGAGTGCCCCTCTCTAGGGCGGCGTCGCGAGGGCGCGAAGGTAACCGCGCATCCCGGGGCGCGGTGCGCGAAATTCGGTAGCCCAGGTTTTGCCCAAGGCGTTCCTGCCCATCCGAAGGCGCTCGCATTGGCAAGATCGGGCTCGCGGCGAAGAAGGCGAGGGACGGCTACGAGTTCGTGGAGGACGACGGGTCGAGGGGCACCCTGTGGATGAAGCGGCTGAGGATCGACCGGCGGCCCATGCAGCTGTCATTGCAGGGCCTGCTCAGCCCAGACGAGGATCGAAGAATAGCATAATTGCATCAACATGAATGACGAACGATCAGCGCGCACCCATACCCATAGGGGGACGGAATGAGCTATGGATGCGTGTTGTCGGATGGGGGTCCCCGTTCGAACGGGAGCCTCCCCAGGGGTCCGACAACCCGCACCCATACCCATAGCCAGTCCTTCTCCCTCCGACCTCCCTATGGGTATGGGTGTGTGTGCTGTTCGCTCGTCAATAAAACCGCTGAAGCTGCGCGCGGATCTCTCGGATCGGCGCTCGGACCCCCCCTCGGCGGCGCCTTCGGTGCCGCCCCTTGCGCGCTCCTCGCGCCAGGGAGGTGAGGCCGCAGCGCCGATCCAGGAGATCCGCGCGGGCCTCCACACAGTTTTTTTTTTTTTTTTTTTTTTGTTTGTTTGTTTTTTTTGTTCATATATATATATATCGTATTTGGTTGTTTGCTTTTCTAAAGGATTCTGGGCCGCGGGTGGGGCGCCTGAGCCGCTATTCTCTGAGCATCCACCTGCGCCTCCGCGCGTGTCTCCGCCGGCGCGCCGAGGGGGGGGCAGCGCGGCGTTGCCGCAGCGCCCCCCGCACTTCTTATCCTCCTTCGCTGGCCATGGCTGCCACGCGGCAGTCCTGTGCCGGGGAAGCGCGGCTCCGCCGCACGAGCAGGCGTGCGTCTGTGGATGCCTGCGGCCGCGGGCTCTCTGAGAGGATGCCGAGCTGAGGCGACGGCAGTTGGCGTTCGGGGGGGGGGGCCCTCGCCGCCACGGCTGGCAGCTCGGAAGACCTGTGCGGTCGAACCCTGGCAGGGTCCAGGGATCGATTTCGAGAGGGCGTTGCCTCAACTCGCCCTGCGTCGAGCTCCTGGGGCCGCTCATGCCTGCCAGAGCATCTGGCGGAGCACCCACGGCCCGGCTGGGGGGGCGCGAAGCGGCTCCTCGGAGGCCAGAACGGCGCAGGCACCATGCCGTCTCGAGCTTCTCCAGCCGCCGCAGACGTCTCGGGCATGGCACCGGACCGCACGCCGCAGGACCGGAGGCCAAGGGAGCCGACGCGCGCCGCGCCCGCTGCCGCCAAGGCGCGCGGTGGCGGATATGGTTCCGCCTGGAGCAGTACCCCGAGGGCAAGACGGCCACCCTCGTATTCTTCGGGGCGCCGCCGGGCCAGCAGCGGCAGGAGGCGGGCACGGAGCCCAGGGGGAGAGGCCGCACACCGACATTTGGTACGGTCAGGGACTTTGGCTCAGCGTGTCGCGCCGCCAGTTCTGGCCCACCACGCCTCGGCGCGACGCGCTGGCAACGTCCTACAGGTCCCGGGCATCCGCGCCCCGAGCTCGTCCCAGCTCCAGTCCCCATGGGGCTGAGTGAGACGCGCTCCGCTTGCAGGGCATTGCGTGTCGCCGGGGCCGCCGGTGCGACACGCTGAGCAAAAGTTCGGCCGTACCCTGCCCTCGCTCTCGCAGTTTCGGGCCTCCTGGCGAGTGCTCTCATCGCCGCTGCTGGATTTGCTTAGGAGTGCTTGTCAGTAAGCACCTCTGGAGAGATCCAGAGATTGGCAGCAACGGCTCAGTCGGGTCTAATTCGTAGAACGACTTTGCAAGATGAAGATTGCCCGGTGCCTTTTTAACCTGTCTATCGCTTTGCATGCCTTCTTCATGTGTTGGGCACGAGTTGCCTTATGAAGAGGCGTCTGTCCTCTCGCGTGTCCTCTATGACCAGTCCCGACCGCATCTCTTTGTCCTTCTAGGAGCTGCGCGTCAATTTGGACGGCTCCCTCGTGCTGGAGAACCTGCCGCAGACGAATCCGCCCGTCGAGTTCCGCGACAGGACCGACAACTTGGCCGAGTCCATGTACTTCAGCAACAAGGGTCGGGTGCGTGCCGAGTGCCGGAGCTCCACGCGAGTGGGCCTGGACGCTTGGAATCTGTTGACCCTCACGGTAGATGCCACGGAGAGGAAAGTCCTGGCTTGGTTGAATGGCCAGATCGCGATCGCGCTCGAGAACCATCCTGCGATCAGTGAGGGCTGGTTCGCTCTGAGTGCCATCGAGCCACTCTGGCTCTTTGGGACCCCATCAAGCCACCGTTTGAGCCCGAAGCTGCAGCTTCGAACCGTGCTGCTTCAGAAAGGGATCATCACAAGAGAACAGGTGCTCATGGTGCACGTGCCCAGAGGAGTGTGGAAATGCAACAGCAACAGATGCGGACAATTCAACGCTCCGGTAGATGACCCCTCTGGGCTGATACCTTGCCCAAGTTGTGGAATTCCAAAGCCGAAGTCTGGCCAACGGCCGAACACGAAAGACGATGTGGATCCTTCGCACCCGGGGCTCACCATTGTTGTTGCAGAGTCTTTTAACGAAATTGTGCTCGAGAGCGACGCCCACGTGTTCATCGACTTCTCGGCAGATTGGTGTCCTCCCTCGAAGCAGATGAAGCCGGAGTGGTACTCTCTGGCGGCAAGGACAGAGAAGATCCCCGGTCTGATCATTGCCTACATGGATTCCGACGAGAACGAGTTGTCCAGTGAACAGCGTGAGTTAATGCCCGAGACGAGCATCCCCAACCTCAAACTCTTCAAGAAGGGCCAGAAACGAAGCCCTTTGAAGTACACAGGTGAGCGCACGTCTTCTGCGTTCATGCGTTGGCTCAAGGAGACCACCCAGATTGATTTCGGCAAGGAGATGCTTAAGATGTATGGCCAGTACAAAGACGAGAAGCTAATTCATGTCCTGGTGGAAAAGATTGTGATGGCCATGCAAGTCTACGTAGCCAAGCATGACATCGACTTCATTACCCCAGTGATTTCGCATCAAGGTGGGGAACATAAACAGGCTGCCGAAACCAACACTGACAATGCCTTGAGGACGTTCACCCGCAGATCTTTCTGGCTTCTGCCCCTTCCGGCTGAAGTAGGCGATGAGATGGAGGGAAAAGGGAGGAGTAGGTCTGAGAAGAGCAGGAGGAAGCGGGGAGAAGGAAGAGGAGCAGAGAAAGGATATGGTTGGGAGGTAGCCAGGCCCCTACCTATTACAAAAGTAGAGGCGAGTCCACAATACAGGCCCGTAATGTTGCATTGCTGGCGCATTCGTAATTCTAATGTGTGTGCGTGTGCCATTTTGTCTGCATACCTAACACATCATAAGGAGCCCATCGTGTGATCAACAGCTTCCCATAGTTTGTCGATGTATTTATCTTCATATCGACTTTGCTTGTGCACTACCTGCTTTCTAAACATATCATCAGACGCACCCCTCCGAGAGAGTAAGGCTCAGAGGCGACTGATTGAAGCCAACCTGTCCGCGATGTGTGCTAGCCTTTCACTCGGGGCATCTTCAGCATTATGATAAAAACACGGGTGCACCCTTCATGCAGATCGCGACGTCATTGTCTACAAAGACAGCCTTGTTTCACATAACACCGTCAACGCCACACGGATGTTCGATCATGGTGGACGTCGTTCTTGGAGAAGCAGCCGTTTTGCGTGAGAGATCGTCACACGCTTGAAACCCGACGTATTCAAAGTTGAGCTCACACTATTCATAATGAACGGTTCGCTCGACAAACAGTGGCTTCGGAGCTCCTTTTTAACTGCAGTTGCAAGGTGTGGAACGCCATCTTGCGCCACACACACACACACATTGCAAAGTGTGGCAACATTGCAACCCTACTTGCGTTCGACTGCGACCCCGCTGGTGCGTCTCCTTCGCAACAGCCCTCTGGTGATCCTCATTATCATGTTTCTGGCTGTTTCCTCTGCGTCTCCATCTCCTTCCTCTTCCTCCCCGGACCCGGCCTCATATTCCGCTTCTGATCAAGGCCACGCGAGTCTTATGTGTTGCAGCTCTTTTTGGGGGGCTTGGGCACGCAGGTGCCACTTGTGCGTGCGTGCATACATACACACACACACATATATATATATATATATATATATATATATATGTATGATCGCCCCCTACCAAGATCTACCTCAATACTGCAACATGTTTGAGTGACTCGCCTGATGCGGGCAGCCTCCCTCAGGAACGCACCCCTTCCTGATCGCTGCGACGCCGCAGCTGGCGTCGCGAAGGGCGGCGACGGAGGGCGATCACGCTACTGTTTTCGAAGCTTCCGAAACCGATCGCACTCCCCCTCGGTGCAGATCTGGCATCGCCGAAGCTTGCGTCGGCGCAGGCATATGGCTCGCAACAGCGGCCACCCTCAGTTAACAACACAGACGCCAGCGCCCCGCGATGGCGCCAGCAGTCTGGATCGCCGCCCGCCTGCGGGCGGAACCCATGCACTCCCGAAGGGCGCGCTCATTTGTTCAGGTGCTTCAGCATCTCCCCCGTCTTGGACCAGGCATCGTCTGCCCGATGCCAGTGGGCCCATTGAGCAGACCGCACGCGATGGCGCAAGGACGCGCTGCCGACTGCCCCAGACCTGCACTTGAGGTAGCTGCGCAAAAGCTGCCAGAAGCGGTCGACCACCTGCGTGCCCCCCCCCCCCCTGCACTTCAACGTCCTCTTCGTTCCTGGAATGTTGTGCTTGGGCTCCTTGGCGTACTTCGGGAGGATCCACGCGAACTTACCGTTGCGCTTGACTGGCTTCATTTTCCTGCTCTTCAGCTTCTTCTTCATGTGAGCCACGCCGTCATGAATCATCCCAGGAACCTCCTTGAGCTTGTAGGCGCGGGCGCCGCCAGTGTGGAGGATGACGTTGCGGTTCTGGAGGTGCTTCTGCGCAAACTTCTCCCAGTCGTTCTCCCTGATGGGGCCTGGCCCTGGCGCCCGAGACACGGTCTGCTTTGGGTTCAGACGCGTCAGGATGAGCGTGCGCGGGGCCCCCCGCTGCTAGGCGCCACCCCGTTGCTCCCAGGTCGAAGCGGCATCGTGGGGCGACGGGCATCCGTCGTCGACGACGTTCTTCCCGAGGTCAACCTCGTCCGCCTCGACGTCGTACCGCGAGTTGTTGCCGGGGGCGCTGCCGAACTTGATGGGCTTCTCCATCTCCTGCACGTGGAGACTGCGGGCCATGTCGTTCGCGCGGTCGATATCCCCGATCGTCCTGTGGTTCATGTTGCGTCGGCTCTGGGCTTTTGGCTGCGCGCGCGCGGGCGGGCTGCGAACCTGGTCGTTTTGCCGAAAGAACTCAATGTCCCGCGACAGAGGGGGCATCATCATTGAGCTCGCGCGTTTCTTTTTCTCTCTCCAGCAACTCGGTCAGGTTGTTTTTCCTTTTGTGCGCAGTGTCCGTGCCGCGTTGCTGCGGAGTGTCCTTCTGGCTGCTGAAAGAAAAAGTGCGTGCGCGCGTATGCGTGCGCGCGTGTGTTCGTGCGCGCGCGATGATTGTGGAACCTTGGCGGCCCAGACGGGCGGGCCTGCCCCCCCTGTCTCGTTTGGCCGAAAGAATCCAAGGTCTCGCTGGCGGGGATGGGGGCGCATCGGACCCAACGCAACGATGAGGGAGGGGCGGGAGACAAGCAAGGAAGAGTTGAATATTGTGGATCAGGAGAAAGGAACAATCTGCTAGTACCCGTTGAGCACTGCGCTCGAAGCAGGCGTTGCGCCTCAATGTGCACATTGGGCATTCCGCCCACGTGGAGAGCATTACGCCCAAAGAGAATCAGCGCTACGCTGAAGAAGGCAGGCGTTGCGCCTTAATCACACCCCTGGGCATTACGCCCATGTGAAGAGCCTTACGCCCAGCGTTTTAGAGTATAACACTCTTCCTCCTAGAGCATTGCGCTCTTCTCCCCTACAGCTAAAAGCAAGAGCATTGCGCCCTGCTGTGGCTCCTCCCCATAGCATCCTCATCCTACATAGGCATTGCGCCTTTGACTACACCCTGGTGTTACAACCATTTGAAGAGCATTGCGCCCCGATTTATCATTCTGAGGTTGCCTTCCCTCCTCCGCAGTTGGCGTGGGCCCGTTCGAAGATGGCCTGAACACCCCGTCGCGGCCTCCTCCTGGTCCTCCTCCTCCTCCTCCTCTTCCCCCTTCTCCCCTCCCGCTGAGTATTCCGTCGCGGACCCCATGATTCTCCTCCTTCCTCCTCCCCCTCCTCTTCCCCCTCATCCTTCTCTTCCACCTCCTTCCTCCTTCCTCCTCCTCCTCCTCCGCATCCGCATCCGCATCGTCTTCGGCATCATCCTTTTCCTCCTCCTCCTCCTCCTCCTCTTGCCCCTCCTCTCGGATTTCCCCTCCTGGATGGCAGCCTCATTATCATCAACGCCGCCCCCCGCTTGAGAGGTTGCCAAACTACTCGCTGTGAGGAGGCTCCCACCTGAGAGGTCCCAACAAACAGGAGGAGGCTCCCGCCTGAGGGGTCCCCCCCAAAACCCAAACAAGACGAGGCTCTCGCATGAGAGGTCCAAAAAACAACTAAACAAAAGGCAACTCGCGCTTGAGAGGTCCCCGAACAACAAACAAGAGGAGGCTCCCGCTTGAGAGGTCCCATCCAAAAAACTAAACAGAAGGAGGCTCCCGCTGGAGAGGTCTCAAACAAACCCGAACACATGGAGGCTCCCGTTTGAGAGGTCCCAAAACAACTAAAAAAACCCAAACACCATGCCTCTCATCCCTGCAACTGTCCCAATTTTTGTTTAAGTTCCAGGGGAGATCAGGCGCCGCTGCCCCAGATGCATTGACGAGGGCCGCCATCTCCTCTGGATTTTTTTTTTGGGCAGTTACAGGGATGAGAGGCATGGTGTTTGGGATTCTTTAGGTTTTTCCTGATTTTTCAGGCGGGAACCTCCATCAGTTTGGGTTTTTTGGGGACCTCTCAGGCGAGAGCCTCCTTCTGTTTGTTTTTTTGTTTTGACCTCTCAGGCCTCATGTTGTTTGTTTTTTTGGGGGGGAGCCTCTCAGGTGGGGGCCTCCTCCTGTTTGGGTTTTTTTGGGAGCTCTCAGGCGGGAGTCTCCTTTTCCTCCTCCTCCTTCTTCCGCGTTCCTCCTCAGATGAAATCCTTCTCCTCATTCCATCCTTCTGTTACTTGATTATGCTGCTGCTTCTCCTCCTCTTCCTGTCCTTCTCCTCCTCGTCGTCCTCCTCCTACACGACGAGGCGAAGAACAAAAAGGCATAATGAGGTTGACCCCATGCAGAAGAACGATGAGGTAGATCTTGGTGGGGGGGCGTCCATATATATATATATATATATATATATATATATACATATATATACACAACTGAAGGGGCGTTTGAAGCATGAGTGAAATGCAACATCGAAGTCGCACTCGAGCGCAAGTGGGGTTGCCACACCTTGCGATGTGTGTACCAGGACCCCCCAGGAAGCCTCAGGAGGCCCGACTTGGATACCAGAAGAAGCTCCAGGAGGCCCCAGGATCGTGAGTGTTGTGCGTGTGTGTGTGTGTGATGTATGCTTTGTGTGGTGCGTGCTTTTTGTGTGTTGTAGGTGTTGTGTGTGTGTGTGTGTGTGTGTGTGTGTGTGTGTGTGTTATGTTTGTCTAGCGTGTGATGTGTTGGGCGTGATTTGTGTCTCTGTGTGCATGTAGTTCTGAAGCCCCAGGAGGCCCCAGGAAGCCCCAGGCGGCCTCAGGAGGCCCCAGGAGACCCCAGGAGGCTTCAGGAGGCCCCAAGAGGCTCCAGGAGGCCGCAGGAGGCCCCAGGAGGCCCCAGGAGGTTTCAGGAGACGCCCAGGAGGCTCCGAGGCGGGGTCTGGGGTGCCAGAAGGTTCAGAAAGCCTCAGGAGGCCCCAGGAGGTTCCAGGAGGCCCCCAGGAGGCTCCAAGGCGGGGTCTGGGGCTCGATTTTGGAAGGATTTTTCAAGCGCAATCGCCATTCCCTGAGAATCGGGGTCACAATTATTGAAATTACCATGTGTTTTTGAAGGTTTTATGTTAACATGTTGAAATTCCCATGTGTTTTTGGACCCTGACGTCACGATCTGCGTGATGGGTGCCACCGATTTTCAGAATTTCGAGGATGTCCCGAGCGAAACGCCCAGAAAAATCGCGGACGCGTGCGCATTCATCGCCTCTGAGCTCTACTCCCTCGGAGAGGTGCGTATGAGAATATATATATATATATATATGTTTAATGTAAATGTATACATATATGGGGACCCCCGTCGTCTTGCAATACTTTATCTTGGTATTGGCGGGGTGTGGAGGTCCCCATTTCCTGGAGTCAAAGCGGCGAGAACAGCTTTCTCTTTTCTCTCTGTTGCTGAGCCCTCCTGGGGCCTTCAAGCCGCTAGCCCGCTAGCACGATCAGCTTGTGAGCCCTTAGACGTTGTAGCTCCAGGTGGCTCCGTACACTAGTGCTTAGCCTGTCCCCTTAATGACATCACATGTTTGCAATTCTCCTCGAGCCAGGAGTGGCTCGAGCAGCTACTTGCAAGCAGCACGCAACTGGGTCTGACACTTGCAGTTGTCCGGCAGCATGTCACTGCTGCTTAACGCTCACACGCTCTAACTGCCTCATCTCATTGAGTCTCGTGGTTAGATCTTCTTCAGTACGCGTCGGGTTATCTCCCATCAGCGCAGTCATCTTTCGAATTGCACGGATTGTGAACTTACGAATCTCTGTCCCATCAACTGAAATCATCACTCGGTTGAGATACTCGGACATCTCGACCTTTTCGTTGCCGAGCGTCTCGGTGGCATCGGTGTTGTACATGGCGCCTGCGGTGTACACAGCTCCCGATCTGTCCGATGCACTCAGAAAATTGCAGCCACTTCCCAAACCACTCATTGCAACACATCGCGCAACTCATGATGACAATTACAGCGCTGAAATTTGCCGTCTCGAAATTCATCACGGTCATATGCTTTCTGTTCTTATGCACGACTTTCTTGCTGTAGACCTTGCGCGCGCCACTGAATTCCATGATCAAAACAGCTCGTTGCTGGTGATACGGTCGACCATGATATATATATATATATATAGTTTTCCATTGTCTGGCTCGTCTCGATCTTCGCGGCCTCAGCAGCAGGGCCACGTTACCCACATCCTAAGAGAATGTGTGAGGTGCGTCGTCTTGGCGAGGTATGTTTCCCCAGATCTGCTCGACATCTTCATGGAGATCCGCTTCTTTCCTGCGGGTTTATCGTATCTAAGCTTGCTGATGCTGATTCCCGTTGAGCTGTCGCTCTTTAGGTTTTGAACTCTCCAAGAAAGGCTTGACAGTACAACGCCTCTGAAGCTCCACTGGTCAAAGCATATCCATCAACCTCCGCACTGGACGTTGAATCGTCGCTTGAGTGCGGCTGTAACCCACAAGCGGAACTTCAGCGTAATGAATCTGAACACTCGCTATCGATTCGGGCGGATACCAGATCTGAATCGGCCTCCCTTTCCAGCTCGTTCTCGAGCTCCAGGTCCGACTCCACGTGCAGCTCCCAGCCTATGGTGTCAGTCGCATATCGACTAGCGCGTTTGATGTGTACAGCACCGCCTCCCGTTGCATTCCACATCATCCCACGATAAGCCTCCTTGATCGCACACTAGAGGCCTGGACGCTGGTGCCCAGCAAACAAGGCTGATCCTATGCATGACATGAACTGTCGTGCTGCTCCCTGTTGTAGTGTGGGCTTTCCTTCCTTCCGCGCCTCGGCCTTCACTCCCAGCGTGGAGACCGCACTGCACTTTTCAAGCTTAAGTCCCCGAAGTAAGCTCCACATGGTCTCATCCTTTGTTCCCAATGCGAGCCCCCTGTCCGTCACTCAGAACGTCAATCCCAGATGATCGTGGATCTGGCCCTTCGGAAGTACACCCGAGCGCCCCATCAGGAAGTACTCGCCGATATGGTCCAATGTCTCCTCGATGCCATCCTCGCTGTTGGCCGTGATGAGGCCGTCGCCCACGTGCTTGTTGAATTATGTCTCCTGGGGTTTCACGTGGTATGCTGTTGGATCTGACCACAAACGTTTTGAAACCCAATTTGGAACGACCCGAGTGCACAGCATCTCCAGTCACCACTGATGCAAAAGTATCGTCGAAATCGATCACGGCCTCTTGAAACCATACATTGTGCTATTCAACGTCCACGCCATATCAGGAGGTGCCTGCCACTCCTGTGGTGGCCACGCCCAAACCTCGTCCCAGATCGGTCCGTGCAGGAAGGCCCTGGACAGGT